AAGTCTTGTTAAATTCTTTAAAAATGTAAATTTTGCATGCCAATTGGGTAGTTTCCAGGGTATCAAAATTAAAAATCGAATTAATCCGTCAGTTAGATAATGAAAAAATATTAGACACGTATTTTTTATTTTCGCGTAATAAATTGCAGTACTTAAATAAAATGGTGCTAAGTTTAGGAGTGGGAGGTCGTTACGTCATAACGTGCTACAAAACATTTTAAATTAATTTATTGTCGAAATTATTTAATTTTGTGAGAGAAGAAAAAATACGTGTCTAATGTTTTAAAATAATCTACCATACGGACATTAAAATAAAATTTAGGCAACTACCCTATTCTTGGATGATAAGTCTTATTTAATTATTTTATCTAAAATGTAAACTTGCATGGCAATTAAGGTAGAATGTACAAGGAATCTTAGAACTTTGTAACACCAAATAATTTACAAACAGTTTAGAAAGCTTTTATTAAGGGGGGAAAATCATCGAATGACTGCTCCCGCCTGGGTGAGGCGGGAGGGAGTGTCAGACCCTTACTGACTAAAAACCACCCTGTTCCTTCTCCTGCGCTTCGAGCCGGAGCCCCAGTAACCCATTAAGTTCTCCGCGCCTCCGAATCAGCATCAGCCCTAGTTTAGGAAGCTACGTGCATAAGCAGATATACTTTCAGCAATTACAAATTGACATTGGCATGACTTTGGCTCCCTTTATCTTATTAAATAATCGATAACTTCAAAACTATCGTTATATTATTATAGGCATTGACCCTAGAACACTACGCACATATTGGTCTATTCATAGTAACGTAATACCTATCTTTATATATATAATTCTGCTGTACGTGTGTATGTCATTCAACTCCTCCTAAACGGCTTGACCGATTTAAGTCAATTTTTCTGTACACGTTTGAGTGGGGCCCTGGATGGTTTAGATTCATAAATCAGCCCGGCAGATGGCGCTGCAGTCGGTGTCTAGTTTATTTATCATATTTTTACATAACATAATATCACGCCTTTTATCCCCAAAGGGTTAGGCAGAGGTGCACATTACAGTACTTAGTGCCACTGTACAATGTAACACCCACTTAACACTATTTATGTTATGAGTTTCATGTAATAGGGGGTGAGCCTATTGCCATATACCGGGCGCAATTCCAGACTCCGTGCTACTAGGCACTGAGAATTTTTTGAAACCAAAAACATAATTAAAATAAAATCACCACATCATTCACCCCAATATTTTATTTAACATTGAATTTGAATCATTTAACGCAATTCAGTTTTACATACGCACACATACATGTAGGTACTACAAACATAACTATGTTTATTTAACAACATTCCTATAAAAGCAACAACACAAACCCAGACCTACGCCAACTGTATTAAATTATCCATAAAACAAAAACGTGTTTTTCGAAAAACCCAGTCAATAACCTAAAATCCAGCGTGAAATATTAAGAATAATTTATTGTGTGTATAGTACACGACTACGTAGGACATATCAAGTAATACAAAACCAATCTATCTCGGTCTCACTTTATACGATCTCTCTACACAATCGACGGTCAACTTATGTTGGTTTGTGTAACTTCATATGTGTACACTGACATGCATAGGAGTTTTATTAAAATTATGTAAATTGAACAAACAAAAGCTCACATTTTGCATATAATTATGTACTTTTATACAGCTGAGTAAATGACATCCTTACGAATGCGTTTTCACTTGCATACATTGTTGTATATTTATTAAAAATAATAGCTGTATGTCGTAGGCTAGAGGGTTATTCTGTGATAACAAAAATGGCATTCGAATAATAAAAGATCTAGAATATGTACGTGAGAGCAACGAAACGGAGCCACTAACGGTTTTGTTTTGGTTTTATGGAACAGCCTATAAATTTAAAAAAATATTCCTTTTTTAAAAATGCTCTCATTTATAAGGTAACTAACGGCTCGTACACAAAACATGTGCGAGCTCCGTCTACGCATCGCAAGAACTTGCGAATTGATTCGCATCGCGCATCAAAATTTTATCAGCCCAAAATCTTCTTTATTTCTTTGCCCTGTATCTCCTAAGCAATAACAGAAGTGCACACTTCTTTTAACGATCCATGTCACGACCTAGTTTTCAATTTAAAATACGTTTAGTACGGTTGATGGTCGAAGGAATGGTCACCCTGGGAGACACGATTTTATACAACAGTGGCAAAAAATTGCACGGCCCACCTGATGGTAAGCGGTTACCGTGGCCTATGGAATTTTCTGCGTTGCGAACTCACATCGCATCGCAGTTTTGTGTACAAGCCCTATATTGCCTTTTAGACGACACTCGTTACTTATTAATAAAATACTTCATACTTGTAACAGAAAGAAACAAAGTAATTTGCCGAGTTGGCCGAGTGTCTACCGGGCAAGGGGTAAATCAATCTAAGTAGTAACACGGAGTCTGGAATTGTGCCCGGTATATGGCAATAGGCTCACCCCCTGTTATATGGAACTCATAACATAAATAGTGGAAAGTGGGTGTTACATTGTACAGTGCCGTTATGTACACCTTTGCTTACCCCTTCAGGGATAAAATGCGTGATATTATGTTATGTAACAATGGGTCTATCTACGATGTAGATGTCTGGATATCGTGAAAGTCAGACAGGCATGAGACAGTAGATATGTAAAACATGTTGATACAAGTTTTTAAGCTTATCTGTCTGTATATTGATAAAAATAATAGTGCAGGTCAAAACAAAACATTGCATACACAATAAAGATATACAATTGCATAACAGATAGCAAAATTTGATTAATGAATTTTTAAGATAATTTTTTTCATACAAACTGTACTTACATGATACCGATTATTAGTTATTTAGTGAAAATTTAAGGAAAACAATTAAATTCATTTTGTTATATTCTAGCGTGTGTAAAATTTTATTATTAACTAGCGGACCCGACAGACGTTATCCTGCATATCCACTTAAATGTATAAACAAAAATTCATTCAAATTAGTTCAGCCTTTTTAGGATAAATAACCTAGACACCGACTTCAGCGCCATCTGCCGGGCTGATTTGTGAATCTAAACCATCCAGGGCACCACTCAAACGCGAACAGAAAAAATCGTTTAAATCGGTCAAACTGTTTAGGAGGAGTTCAATGACATACACACTCACAGTAGAATGATATATATATAAAGATATAAGAGATCGAATTCAGATACATTTTATGTCAATTGAACAAAGTCTGCCAAATCTATCGCAAATCTGATGTTGACTGCACCGTTGGCGCGGTGGCTGGTGGGCAACACATTTAGTAGGTTCGCTTCCCGCACGGATCAACTCTTTATATCAATACATAGTATAAAACAAAGTCGCTTTCGCTGTATGTCCGTATGTATGCTTAGATCTTTAAAACTATGCAACGGATTTTGATGCGGTTTTTTTTAATAGATAGAGTGATTCTTAAGGAAGGTTTGTATGTATAATATATGCATATTGCATCCGTGTGAAGCCGGGGCGGGTCGCTAGTGATACATAAATTGTTGTTTCGGGTCTGGGTGTCATTGTGTATATGAACTGTATGTTTGTAAACGCACCCACGACAGAAGACAAAGTCCTAGTGTGAGGAAATGTTGTTTAAAAAAATCTGACCATTATTACAATATCTAATAATAAATAATAATCAATCAAAATCTATTTGAAACAACATGAAAAAATATAGGTTAGCAAACATGCGCATATTAGAATATGCGCATATTATTTTATCAAAGCAATGAGCTTATTTTCGTGAAAAATATGACGTACCTTTAAAATAATAGACGCAAATATTTGCCAAAATTAAGATTAAGTGTAGTAAATAAACATTATAGTCTAGTGTTTTGGTAAACAAGATCGAAAACTGATAATATTGTTGCAACAATATTTTTTTATGAGTGATACACTCACCCATTTTTATCTATAAGATAAGCAATAGTTACAGAATAGCCCTTTAAAATTCTTCATTTAAAGTCCGCGAACACGAATAAAACTATTACAATAAGGACCGAATTTTACGCTGTGCAGTGTTTAAAATTGTGTCAACATAAAGTTTAAAAATAATTTAAAATATTAACGGACTTTTTGTGTGTAGTGTTTTGTTTTTTTTTTAATAATCAATTTGAAAATTTTCTCCAATATGCTGTGGCGACCTTATGACTTTTGTTTTAATTATTACGACTTTATTTTTAACGCGTTAAGGTATTTTCTTCTTTTGTTATTTTCACGGTTATTTATTTATAATTAAAATACAAAATAAAACAACTGAATGTTTATTTCGGACAAGTGATACATACATAGGGGTCAGTAAAGAATTTTTTTAAATCTTAAAAACTATGTTAGTACCTATTTTGTTACAAGCCTACTGTTGGGAATACATCTTCGCACGATACCATGTATTATAGGCGAATCGTACCTCCCTGCAATAGTTTTCAGTTGAGTTGGAACTGGCCCGCATCCTGCAGAGCAGCGATGCAGACTTCTGTCTGATGATGGCATGGAAGCCATCAACGTGTGGTTGAACGAACATGCCAGATGCACAGCAGAAACGGGGCAGTCCACTCTATTTGAAAGCAATTTTAAATAATATTTAATTTGATCCTTCGATCTAACTCCATCACAGCCATCACTTACAATTTTGTTATTTTTTGTTCATAATCATCCTTGGTGTAGATTTTTAGACGATGTATCATTTTTACATGTTGGTTTGTCCCTTAGAGACGGTTATTGTTTTGATATTATTTAAAACTGAAAATATTAAGGGTAAGATACAACACAACCCTCTTTAGGTATCCTCTTGACTAAATGCTACCATAAATAAAAACTGGAGCAAATTGATTTGACTTATAGACATTTCTAAGATTTCTGTAGCTCCTATACAAAGAACCAGCTGAATTTATGTTTTGAAGTAGAACACGTATCTTATTATCATCTTCAAACCAATCACTAACAAATATTTTCCCCTACAGGCCTCCAGAGGTGGGTGAGAAGGCGCCGGCGTCTTCATCCCCCAACCTTGCTGAGCAGCCGCTCGATCTGAGTGCCAAGTCCACCTCCAGCACAAGTGGAACTCCTCCACCTGATAACAAGCACTTGGATAACAGGTAAATGAAAATTTTTGACATTTTTGTGACATAAGATGGTTGATTCAAAAAAATTTATATTATAATCGTTGTCCTGAAACGTCACTAGTACGTTAGCTGAGCTGAAAGAGTTCGAATACATGTTTAAATAAACTCGTTTAAAAAAGCTGTCAATCTTCCGACTAATAATGTGATGTGATAGAAAGAGATCTAGAGTTGACAAAGTAGGTAATAACTACGACAATGTTGGTAGTAGCGCGAAATCTGAAAATGTGTCTCGCAGTAGGCTCAACTCTCATTACATGTAAATGAAACTTATCTTAACAGTGGTATTAATCCACAAAAAACCTTACCTTACTTTTATTACGTCTGACAGTCTCCTTGGACACAACACGAAATACAACTCACAAAACAGATTGTCATTGGACAAGTGTCCTTAGCCAATGACACACGTGTTAGCAAAAAAAAATATCAAATCATCACCAAAATAAAATTTTATCTATGCTCATTTGTGTAAAGTCTAATCGAATTAAAAATAGACGCAAAAAATGGACAAATATTCGTCCAATTTATTTATAAAACAAATATTTTTGTCTAGTGTTAGTCGTAAACAGGATCAAGTAACTGAAAACAAAATAAGTGTTTTAGATATCAGTATTTTCGGTACAAATTTTTTTTAATCATCATCAGACGTCAGGCCGCTTCCAACTAGCCTATGATGAGTTTATTGGAAAAACTGGGAACATTGTAACATTATAACATTGGTGGAAAACTTGGTCGTTTTCCGTTCTAACGGACCACCACGGATGGGGCCCAATAGGGCTAATGCCGATACGGAGTCGCAAAGAACCTTACGGGTTACCGGGGCTCCGTCTCGAAGTGCTGGAGTAGGAACGGGTGGTTTTAGTCAGTAGGAGTCTGACACTCCCTCCCGCCTCACCCAGGCGGGAGAAGTCATTCGATGATTTTCCCCCCTTAAAAAAAAAGTGTAGATAAGGACCATACATATAGATAATTGTAACACCTTTTTTATTTTAACACACATCCTGTATCCTACATGACTGTGTTGCACAATTCCTTGACCAAACGACCGACTACATAAATACGACTAAGCTAGGAGTAACATAAAAACTAATTGTAGCCATCAAAGTGACCGATTAGCTAAGGCTTTTATCACTTTAATCTAGGTAAACGCGCTAAATTGGATTAAACATTAGTCGTTGGCCTTAATTTAATGCTAATGTGCGTTTAGTCGTGCATGTGTACACAACCTTATTTTATTTGACCGTTACAAAAACGTATTGTTGTTCGCTTTTCAAACGGTGATTGTCATTTGGTATTGTTGACTTTGAAATTTACTGGATATGGCTTCTATTTATTGTTAGTTTAGTTCATTAAATTGTTGTTTTAGCATGATATTATATTATAGGGTATTAAGCTTGTCTCATTATGCATTAAGCATAAGTTGAGTGTGAACGCTTCAACCTATTTACTCTTATTGGATTACCACGTTTCATCGTTACCAAGTTGTTTTACTTACAACGCTATGCATTGTCAAATCTCTATCAAGTCTTTATGTCTGAGAATTCCGATATTAACATCGTTCTTGGGATAGACACATCAGCAATAAGTACCTCAGGATTACTGCACTTTAGAATTCAGAATTGTACACCTCTCCACTTATCTTGGAACTGATAAGCCTTTAATTAAATCACCAAACTCACAAATACTTCAACAAGGCACAACAATCCTACATTTCTACCCATCCCATCAATAAGATGAAAGGAAATAAAATGTTTTAAAGGAAAGGAAATGAAAATAAAACCATCTTTTTTTTCCTTTTCCTCGAGGTATCGGTAAAACGAATGAGCGAGCTTAAATAGATTAATGTCTGGAGTTGAATTTTTTACTCTATTTTGTGTAGGATAAGGATCTGATTAGCTCCTCTGATTTTTGTTCTAAATCAATACTTAAGGTCTTGCATGAAGACATTATACTTAACATTAAGATGTTATTTATGTCGGGATGGGCAGACGAGTTACTTCGACTTCTTGTAAATTATGATTCCTAGCACATAGCAACTAGGTGCTAGAAATATTATTCCGTAATCCCAAACTATTAGATTTTGTTATTAAGTTAGATCTTCGTATAACAATTAGGTTTCAGTATCTTTACTTATGCTTGGAAGAACGAACACCATTACGATGTAACGATGTACCTTCAATTTCTTTATATGGGTATCTCAAGACATTGGATTTTGCCTGAATAAAGAGGGAATACTTCTATGTTCTTTAGTGTTCACATATGTAGGTACCATCAATAAATTCCAAGACTTGATAGTACCGAGACCACCAGTGCCGGGGTGATCGCGACAGCACAATTTTCCACAAACACGGCTTAAAAACTAAAAATCGTTCTAAAAAGCTCACCTAGCATTTTATAGCGTCGTATAGCATTAACAATTCTTCACGCTACCGCCACAGCACCATTGGTCATAACACGATCGACACATTCGCAACGGACGCGAAATAATCGCACTTCCTATTGAAACCTACTTGAATAACACAAACAATAGAAACGTGAACGCACCCATTAAAACACGAAACTTTGAACGATCGACTGAGGTCAGTGAACTTTTGACAGCTAACGCCATCATGTCCGCAGATGTCATTTGACGCCATTTTATCACGACAATGTTCATTAAAAATAATATGTCATTGTTAATTTGTTAGTTGTTTATTGTTTCTGGGTCGAGTTCTATTATTTTGATGGATGATATCTGACGCTGTCAAGACTTAGTTTCGTTAGAAGTACGCGCAATGAATGAAAAGTTATTTAGACACACAAACTTGTAAACGAAATGAGCAGTTTGATAAACGTATTTTTTCAATGAATCACAGGAAGATAAAATACTTCAAACTGGCAATATCTTACTTGCCAATCATCCACTGTAGATATATTACAAAATATAGATGGAAAACCAATCAGAAGTACCTGAGTAATTCAAAGAAAATTGTCAGACATGATTAGAGCGAGCAAATTGAGAAGCTTAAATGACAGCATGTAAAGAACGAACTTCTAGAAGTTGTACAAATGCATAACGAATATATTACATGAATTAAATCTATTGAATTCAGTACCTGTAATAAATATAAAATAAAAATAGACTTTATTCTACCACAGTGTCTCATGCATTTAAATGAATATCAGGACGTGTAGCATATGAATATTACATTAAAAATCGAAACTGTTGACCCAATTCCTTATTGCCAAAGATCTCTAGACTAGCTTAACCGATAAAATTAAAATTAATCACATTCAATACCCTTACAATCATAGACCAAAAGAAGGCCTTAAAAGCATTCCCTTTTTAAAAATAGCCCAACGATTGACAGCCGTCAAAGTCAAGGAACGCATATCTGCAGCCAATGTCAACGCTCTGTGTAAACTGGAACGTTGCGAAAGGCAGACCAAGTTTATCGCAAGCCCTACGTAACCTACGTTCAAAGACTTTTATTATTTACTAGAATCATGCGTGATGAAATTGGAATTCTTTACTTTTTATGATAACTCGTCCAGTGTTTATAGTTCCTTGTTTTTTTTATGCGCGGTAAAAATATCGTCGTGTTTTTGTGTAACGTTCTTTTGTTTTTCTTTTTCGATGTTTGTTTTTTTAATTTGTCTTTGGATTGATAAGATGTACGTTGATTTAATTGTTGCGCCATATTTGATCATGTTAGTAGTTAGGTATCCTGTTTTCGCTAATTAGAACATTTTTTATGCAAAGCTACCTATCTAATATATTATAGCGATAAGTCAATTCTATCTATGCATTTTCTATTTACTTTTACAATTAGAACTTCCTTCATCAATGCTTAATTTACTTTACCTAACACTTAAAACCATTTCGTAATTCCACACACAAGATCTAAATACCCCACAATTCTTGACAAAACAGATAAAATGTAGAAAACATTCCATATGTAACGTCAAGCATCACATGAAAATAAACTATAACAAACCATGGCTATGCCAGCCACCGCCATCTAGCGGTCAGGACCGGTAATACTGGTTTTTCACTCAGATTTTATCAAAGTGTACGTACTCTTGTATGCACCTGTTCAAAATCATACGCTTTTGTTTTAATATTAAATATTTTAAAGGGAAGAAGGAGTACTTTGGACAAATAGTTCACAATCATGAAGGAAAATTACGAATAATTGATCAATGTGACATTGGATGACTTTAGTTCGTTCAATTGTTCTTACGTGATGTGAATATTTAAAACTGGTTTGTTGTTGCGTTTTTATTTCAAAATAGATCAAGCAGAACTACAACTAACGTATGCCACAGTCAAACTTAGGACCTATAATAATTCTACCATCGTTTTCGATACAAAATAAAAGGCTTCGGTGAAAAAGGCATGCAAGACATGTTCTAGCAAAGTAGCAACATAGCTAAAGGATCTCTACTGTTTACCTACGAAAATAGCCAATTTTCATATCTCTGCTATAGACTTTATGCAAATTTTATCAATCTTCAGTTTTATACAAAGAAAGTGTGATGAACAACACAATCGTTCCGGTGCTAACGACCTCGCTAATTTCCCGTCTTCAACAAAGTTATTAAACTCATAATTGCCTCTCGATATATTCATATAAAAACGGAGCACGAAGGAACTGATATTATACACAATACCAAATCGATAACTGAATAAATTCATTCTCTGGGACTGCGATCTGGGTCGCATGACTCGCCAAAACAAATAAAAATGCATCGATAGACTGCTCGAGCATCGACCTTGCATCCTCGAAGACAAGCCAAGCCAAAACACACCCTACCAACCTTACAACACAACTCAAACTCAACTACAAACCTACTCGAAAAATAAGAAAGCACAATTCAAGATGAAACCGAAGACGACAGCTGCAACCAATAAATTTTACACTCTATTAAAAGGCAGTAAAGTTGAATTTTGTTTCATGTGTTACCGTAGGGAATATGATAAAGATGCATTCATAGTGGGCCGTTATCGGCGAGACTGAGAGTAAATATTTCGCATTTCGCGTTATCTTGGATTAAAACGGGCGTCGTACGGTTTTGAAATATTGAATTTAGACGATTGTGGGCCGTTGACCATCGCAGCCCATTTGTGACTCACTATGCACGTCATCTGTCAAGCACTCCGCATGTCTGACGAATAAATTCACTTTCGAAGGAACATGGACGCTCCCTTCTTTTTCTCTTTTTTATCTCCTTCGCTCAGTATGCAAAATTTATTGATTTATCCCGTTGCATATTCAGAACAGCGTCTACATTATTTCGCATCCTTTCGGGAAGAAAATGTATTTATGAAAATATTGTTCTAACTCTAGGAATGGTTCTTTAATTTCTTCTTATAATATTTCAGTGAGAGTGATATCTATGTAGAAGAGTTTATCGAGCTAAAAGTACATTCACACTTGTTGAAAGGCCAATGCACTTTATTCAGTCGAATTATCTGCATTCAAGTTTTTAATCTGTACTGTGAAATGATTAAGTGTTACAAGTTCCGTTCTTGACTTTGTTTCGTAATAGTTTGCTGATATGAGGTTGATATTGTTGCAGATTGAAGCGCTCCGCTCTCGACGGTGCCAGCAATAGCTCGGGTCGCCGCGCGTACACCGAGGACGAGCTCCAGTCTGCCGTGCGTGACATCCAGTCTGGCCGGCTGGGCACGCGGCGAGCTGCCCTCATCTATGGCATCCCGCGCTCCACCCTGCGCAACAAACTCAACAAGTTCGGCACTCCCGTCGATCAAGTCGATTCAGATAATGACAGCGATGCCGAGCGTCCTGACTCGCCTCCTTCAGTCATCCTCAAAATACCAACATTCCCCCCACCAGATGACAAAAGTCCCTCCCCAGCTGGACAAATACAAGCGCCCATCACTCCGATAACACCGATGCTCCCTACTGCTCAACCATCACTGAAGGCGCCCTCGCAGCTGCTGCTCCCACCCTCCGTGTTTGCTGACCCTCCCTCAACACAACACCTGTTTACGTCTCTCAGTGACGTCATCGCTAAAAGCATCAGCCAAAAGTTCCAGCAACCTTTAGATAGGCCTCACCATCAACCCAGTGACCTCATGTACCCACGAGGACCTGATAGACACGTCTCAGTCATTAAAACGCCACCTGATAACCAGCGCTACGCCGCGCCAGGTAACTCCAAAGCCACTCCCAATAACAACGGGCAGCCAGCCACTGGAGGCAAGGGCACGCGACCCAAGCGTGGCAAGTATAGGAACTACGATCGCGACAGCCTCGTGGAGGCAGTGAAGGCAGTGCAACGCGGAGAGATGTCAGTGCATCGCGCCGGCTCATACTACGGTGTGCCACACTCCACGCTCGAGTACAAGGTGAAGGAACGTCACCTGATGCGGCCACGGAAGCGTGAGCCCAAGCCACCACAAGATACTGCTAAGCCACAGCCACCAAAGCCACCGCCACCGAAACCGCCAACGAAGCCGTTCTCCAACGGTCTCAACGGCCCGGAGGCTCCGGGCTACCCGCCTGGCTATCCATATTGGCCTGGCACTGGGTTCCCACCACCACCAGCTCCCGACTTGTACGCCTCGCACATGATGCGACGACTGCGCGAAGAAGCGCCACCACCAGCCAATGGCTCGTTTCTGGAGGGCATCATACGATCCAGCCTGGAACGACCCGCGCTACTGCAGCGGCTAGCAGCGCCACCTGGTGGCGAGGTGGTGCGACGCGCGCCCACCAGCGACGGCGACGAGCCGCCCGCGCGCCGGCCCCGGCTAGACAGCTCGGACCAGGCGCTGGCGGCCGAGATGCGCGAGGCGGTGCAGCGACTGCGCGCGGACAAGCTGCGGCCGCGCAACGGTACGCCGACGCCGCCGCCCGCGCCCCCGGCCGAGCCCCCGCCGCCGCCGGCCTGCGGACGGCGAGCATGGGTGGCTCCCTAGTGCGCTAGACGCCCCGATCTCCTCAGTCTTTGTGATAATAATATGTAAAGTACATTCCGCCGGGCGGCCCGCCCGCTCGCCGACTCACGCTAGTGCAATACGGCCCGCTGAGGTTTGTCGTCCGAGACTCGCGTCACCCGTGTATACTGTTGTAGTGACAATAACTTAGTCGCAGGCTCCGCGCGCCGGCTCTTGTCTCGGTATGTAGTGTCTCCTCTTTATGTTTCCGCTTCCTCGGTCAGTCCGGACAGTCCTCACACACACGTATCCACATCGACACATTATCACCAAATATCACAATAGTTACCTAAAAGTCACAACCAGTTCAATATATCACAGCTTTACTAATGCAATATCACAATAATATAATAGTATTTAGTGTCCCGTGACAGAGATTCGGATGCCGTCGGTTGTGACTTGCAGTCGCGTTGTCATGTCCAGTAGTAACACGAGTTGTTGACCTGTCTTCTGTTCTCTGTGACTCCTCGCTTACGTGACGATCAGGCACAATCTATCATTTCATCTTCTAAATTCAAATGAGTTCGAAACCATTGTAGGGTAGAACGACACTGCACGTTGCAAGCGGCGCTAGGGTTGTCCAAAATTCACGCAAATCCAGAGAGCCTCAAATTTTGACCTTGTTTTAAGTAAAAGACAACCAAAAGTTAACGTTATAAATTAACTATTTAAAATAATTTTTAAGTAATAAAAACAATGTAACAAATTAATTATAAAGCTAGCTATGAGTGTAAATGTTATCGATTTTTAAGTGAACTATTGCAGATTTTGTGCGGTGTTTTTATAATTAGATAGGTAATATATTGAATGAAATTATTAGCGCTATTGGCGGGTAGTGCGGTTGTGGTATTGTTGGTCGCGTCGTCGCCGTCGCGTCGTCGCGTCGCCGTCGTGTCGTTGTCGCGTCGCGCGCGACGTCGTACAGGGCACTAGCTGTAGACGGGAATGGCGTCTCAACGGTCGGCTGAGCTTCGCCTACACGAAGCTATGTTCGGACTTATGTGCAATTATTATTTTGTATAAAATAGTAATTTTAACTGTGTCTAAGCTAACACGTGGATTTCCATATTACTGAATGTGATATTTAGGTATTACGAGTGCGGTTTGATCACGATTGACGAGCTGCGGGGACCGCCGGGCCCCGTCATATATACACGTACGTACATTAAATACATCTAGTGAACTTATATATTTTATGTACTATTATTGTATCTTAAGAAGATAATATTCTTATTTTTCATGGTCCAAGTTTTAAATGTTTTATCGACTATACAAAAATGTGGATAATCATTATTATATTCTTGTCGACTTTAAAAATTATAATTAGCCCAAAAATCCTCAAAAAAAAAATGATATCTTCAAATTTGTGAAATTTTTTGGTGTTCAATCAAAAATATATTATGGAAGTACGAGATGAAAATGTATACGCTCTCCCAAAATTAAATTTAGGTAAAACTATTTGGATATAAAATTATCATACGATACTTATTGTAAGTTATGTGTACATGTGCGCCTCATGGAAATTAAGAAGTCTTTGTATTATGTATGTAATTAAAATATACATAATTATATTATATACAAGTTAAAATTTAATGTCGTACATTTTTCTTCGGAGACCACGAGTGATGTGCAAAATAGAAGTACATGAGTGCACTCGACATTTCGACATACATATTGTTATATTAACTAATATATCTTTCTCGGACCGAAGCGAAACAATTTATTATATACAAATGATATTCGAAATCATAATCCAAAACAAATACATATCCCTCGTGACGAGATGTCGAGCTCTCTCAAATGGTAAAAAAAAAACAAAAATTTTTATATTCAAAATTTTAAACTAGTCGATAGCATGTCTTTCACTTTTGTTTCTCTGTGCATAATTTTCGACGTCTTTTTAGCATTTAATCTTAAAAAAAGTTAATCTATAAACGTTATGTGCATTTATCTGAGTGATGAATACTTTTGTATATTGAAAACAGATTATATTAGATTATTTATCGTCGTGTTGACATCCCTACCAGACCGCATTTCGAAATTTGAAATGTTTAAAGATCGAACAACTTTTTTTTCTCAAAAATACGTACACGAATCTGTGTGTTATGCCTGACATTTGTTGATTGATAGCTTAAAACAAAAAAGGTTATTTTGTGTAAGTTTGTACAGACATAGGATGGGACAATTTGCAAAGAGAATTTAGATAATAATCAACATTCCGTTTAGAATGTTATTAGATTTTTTTTAATTAATAATATAACTATTTTTTGCATCGGGAACAAATAATTATGTTGTTTAATCTTATTTTGTAACGTTAGTTAATTTTTAAGTGGCTTTATTTTATAAAATAACCTTTATATATGATTAATTGTCATATTATATTGAGATGTTATACATTCATTGTTTTTGTGCGAAGTGTTTGGGGTTCTATTCCCGATTAAAGAGAGTTGCGACTGATATGTAGTAGAAAATAGCCGAGTGCTGGAGGCACTGGCTCGGTCGGTACAAATGGTATACACCGCCTTAACACTTAAAAATGTTATTGACAGTGATCTCTACAATACTTAAAATAATAATCAAGGCGAGGCGAACGAGGATCCAACTCTGATAGCGTACCGCAGTACGGCTACGGGGCAGTACGGGGCGGTTTTATATTTATTTCCGTTACATTGATTATTTTTTTAGTAAAACAAGAATGGGACTGCTGTCGTCAAACACATGATCCACCAAAGCAGAAGAGAAATATTAATTTACAAAAATACAACTGCCTCCATTCAAATACCTCATTCAATAGCGATGCAAACTTACTTAATGTCATTTATTCAGAGTACACACGATGCCAACGGTCAGCCATGTTGTTTGATAACACCAGTTTTAGTCGATAGAGGTCACTGGTTTATTAGTGAATCATTTTTATTGTATATTGTTCAATCATTTTTCCACATAGTTTAAGAATTTTAGTTAATATTGTAGCGTACTTTTCAATTAAATAGGTAGTCCGTAGCAATTCTTTAATATTTTTCTTGTTAATTTTTTTTCGTAAATGTAATAAATTCTCCGTAAGGGTTAGGTTAGTCTTGAACGGTCCTCAACTGGTCCAGGAACAAAAGACAATGAAGGGAATGTTGCATTTTTAATTAAAACGTTAAATATTATCGTACTAAGCGGCCGCGAGATCGCTGCTCGCGTCCGATGCGTCTGCTCTCGTACGCGTATCCGACCGAAATGCGAACACTTTGACACTTTCTTAATTCGACTTTCGAATTGCAGAATTCGATTTTTGAATTTGAAACGTTGAGCGCGGCTTCTCGTAAAAGACATTGCCAGGATGTAAGTTTACGAAGCATTTTTATGGACACAAGTTGTTTGTTTGTGTGACTGTACCTAACTTGGTGTCGATTCTCAACTATACACTGTGGCGCCTTGTAGTTCTATCATACGGGAGATGTTATACTTAGTTAGTACTCTATTTTGAACACTGTGCCCACCCGTGTAAAGTTGAGAATCGACTTTTCTATAAATGTAAGAATCACCTAATGTCGTCACTAATTGTTTTCCCTTTTACATCTTGTATGTACTTCTAGATGGTTAATTTTAAAACATTAATGATTATTGTACTATTATTACAATAATTGACTTATTATTATTGACATTTAGCATTATCGTGGAAAGGTATAGAATATTGAATGGAAGTTTTATAATGTCTTGCTAGACGCAGTTCTCGAATGTTCCACATTCGTGTTTTTTTTATAAAAAATATGTACAACAAGAAGCATTTAATTTTAGAAATATGAGATACCTATAATGTTATAAATTAATTGAAATGATAGCAGGTCAGGTATTTGCTATCTCGATGTATTTATTTTGAATTGACGCTTAAAAATATTACATCACACTGCTGAGGACATTTACCTTTGAATGTTTTCTTTGCAAAATTAATGATTGGGATTCTTTTTGTGATTAACAAACAAATCAGTTAGGTAATGGACCAATGTATAAGATAGATAAAACTGTTATTTCCTGAAGAATCGAGAATGGCTCACGTTTTTTTTATAATATTATATAAACTGCGCAATGAGCTAACAAGATCAAATTATAATATTGTTATTTAATTATTGAGTACAAGTTTTAATGAAATATTTTTTTTTTCAATATACCTTACTCGCCTCTTTATTTTTGTTATTTTGTTCCTTTAGTTTTTATTATTATTGTTTATGTCATAAACAGATGATTAGATTTCGAGTTTAATTTAAGCAACTCATAATTATTTTTATTATAAATTATATAAAATATATATATTTCAATTCCTCAGTAAGAAAAGTGATGTTTATACGTTATTCCAGAACTCATATCACGAACGAATAAAGGAGAATCGTAAAAATTGGCGGCAAAAAAATGTGATTGGCACAACACTATTGTATTAAACTAAATCTAGTCAAATTTTTAGGATGGTGAAAAAAATTGAGAAGCTAAGCTTACGATGATTCGACTGAATTTTTGATAAAAAAAAAAATTAAACAAACGTCCAAACTCGTCGCTAGGCGACTTAAAAAAAAAGTTGATTTGAAATTGTGGAATTGTAGCCGATGTTTGTAAAATACTGTTTTCTTACTTATACTGTGAACAAGAATAGGATGATTTGAAGTGAAAAAGTAATGTTTTTTCATTATGTAATGTCCTTTTTATCTAAGTATAGGATCTTTATGCCCTACGTTAAATATCATAATGACATGGCTGGTTAGGCAGGTGTAATGTGCGAGGATATTTAAAACCTGTATACAATAAATTTCTTTCATTTGTTGAAATTTTTTATTGTTTTATTTCACGCACATATTCATTTTTATGCCCTTTTTTGTTTGTTTACTTAATAGTTTTGACAACAAGAGTTAATTGTTATGAAACTGAAGAAATATACCTACTTATAATACCTATATTATTGGTTCAACTGGTAGCTACGATAACATACGATGAATCGAACTTCA